TTATGTTTTTATCAAAACCACGCAAAATACTGACATGCTCATAAAATCCTAGCCAACCTTGGCATACATCTCCAGATAGAAGCCAGGTCGGTTCTTCTCTTGCCCAATTGTATATTCCTTTACTATTTCTGCAAAGACATCTTCATGCTTTTCGCCAAAATATTTCGGGATGGCTATGATGTCCTGTAAACACTAGATGTTTCAAAAAAGTAAAACCTTAACTTGATCCGTTTTTCAAGTTCCTTGCGATCAAAGTTATGGAATTCGCTTGGGTCCACTTCAAGGGTTTGCATTGATTTTCCCTCATTGAGAATCACTAAAAATGAAGTCGAAATGTAAATAGTTCCGTGGAAAATTACCAAAGAACAAGCTCTCCTTCTCCGCCACTCCCATTAGTTGTGGTCGTTTTAGGGCTTTCTAAAAGAGTAGTTTGAAATTTCGTTTGTCTCTAATACCTTTATTAAAACCTCCGGTTCGGCCGGAAACAAATCACCATCAACCCTAGGATGCCATTTAAGGAGATCCATACTGTATTGAGAACTTCCCTAAATTCTGCTTATCGATTTTCTTGCCTTTTTCACTTACCAAAACTTCCACAGCATCGTAAAACTTTGCCACAGGTAATTCTTGAAGGCATTCCTTCAATTGGGCGGTTGAGGAGCAACTACAAATATATATTTTGTTTTTGAAAGACATAAAAATTGTCATACCCCAGTTCCTTAGCCATTGCATTCGAATGTAAAATCACGTTCTCTCCAAAAGCCCAGTTCATCAGTGCCCCTCCCGACATGGCAATTTGACGGTGGAAGAGGCCTAAATTATGGCAAATGTAACGTAAATATACATAAATTTTGTTGGTACCTTGTGCGTGTGGAGAAAGAGCTAGTTGAGAAGCGGATGCTCCTCCGGCTGACATTCCCCAAATTGTTACCTAAAAATAAATAATCGGTGCGAGCTGTCGCTTACCTTGTTCTTGTCTCCGCCAAAGTCCTCAATGGTTTCCTGGATAAATTTAAGCGCTGCTATCTGAAATATGTGTATATTATGCGAAAAAAATCGATAAACCTGATCCCAGAGTCCCAAATTTCCGGGTAGCTCTGTGCCATCACTAAAAAAGCCAAAAAATCCGAGCCGATACTGGATTACAACGGCAATGATACCATGCGGATTGTATATGTTGGCAAGTCCCTGAAAATGGCAATTTTATGACGGGAAGATTTTAAAAATATTAGAATGCTGGTTAATGAATCGAATAATGGAAATCTCGCACCGAATAATGGTAATTGGAGGCCGAGCTCACGGAATAACCACCCGGATGGATCCAGACGAGCACGGGCAACTTTTCAGAAGTCTTCTAAAAAAAGTTAGCATGGAAAAACGCATGTTATTGCACCTACCGCCTCCTTCGGCCTAATTACGCCCAAATGTAAGCAGTCCTCGCTTGTTGGTTCGCGAATTTCGGTTTTGTTATGTGGATAGCAAGCTGGGCCGTACTTCGTAGCATCAAGTACGTCCTCCCAGCTTTCTGGAGGCTTTGGTTTCTAAAACAATTTTAACGATGAAAATACTATAAAAATTCACCTCGAACCTCAGCGTTCCAATTGGAGGTTTAGCAAATGGTATGCCGAGAAAAACTTCTGAGAAGCCGCCACCCTGAAAATTCATGCAAAACTCTGTTGAAAACCTACACTACGTTTATAATCAAATCCTCGTAGTTTTCCATAGCTCGTGGTAATTATCGGATCTGCTTCCGAAGTCACAAAATGTATCAACAAAGCCGAGGCTAGAAAAACTAGCATCCTAAATTTACCCCTCACTTTCGAGAAAGCTTATGAAAAATAAATACAAATCAACTAGAAAATCACTCGCGGAAAAGAAAATTCATACAAAATATTAAAACAAATACCAACTCGTGGAGGAAAAATAACCCGGAATTGTTGTTTGTATGGCAAAGAGGGCATCGACGTTTTATCATTTGGAAGCGAGCGTCTGTTCTTATCACTCGCGGCACGCAACGACAGTTTATTTCCGCTTTGCCGGAGCAATTTTTGTTCCGTCTCCTGGCGGTTTCCGCACCCGGTAGAGTAGCACCTCGATTAGGCGTATCTCATCAGGAGTCAGATGATGAAAGGAAATCAGGTCGTCGCCGAACGCCTCAAACCCCCTGAAAAGGGCAGGGATTATTGGAACCCGACGTAAGGTGTGGCTGTCTCAGAGCTATAGCAGCTCCTTTCATAATTATTATCCGAAAATGTTGCCGAATACCAAATGATAAAAATATTGATCAATCACCTCCAGGGCGCCATAATAATTCCAGTACAGCGCTTCGAGACCCGTGCCCTTATACATTTCATTTGGGCGCAGCGTGTTGAACCTGTAAAACGTGGCGATTATCCTATCCTATAAGCGAGAAAAGTATGTCTGTTTTCTGTAATGACGATTTCTCGGCCGTCAGGCCGAATTTCGCGCTGATTTTTGGCATGGAGGCGGAGAAATGCATTTGCCAGACACGCATTTTTTTGTTTTTCGAAATTCCTCCATTTAACAATTTTACAAGCAAAATAGTAAAAATCCTTAACAAAATGGGCGACGAGCCGTGGTGTTCGGGGCATAACTCGATTCGCATTTGGAATTTCGGGCTGAAATTTGGACCACTTATGTATTCGATAGTGGGGATCACGCGCATCTTATTATCTTTACAAATTTTCTGCAGATTCAGACTCAAAACTTTAATTTTGTAAAGTGACCAGATGGCATCCCTCCCGGGGCATTGCTCGGCCTTTTCTGTGCCTCTCGGCTCCCCGGAACAAAAGAGGGCTTTCCGGCGGCCTGTTGCCATCTGACCCGTGGTGTAGTGGAATCGCGACGGGCCTACCACCCGAATGGTCGGGGGTTCGGATCCTGGGCAAATACAACTTTTTGCTTTTTGGTAGTTTAGCAAAAAACATATTTCTAGGCTCTTGGTGTGTGAGGTTTAGGCCTGGCTCTGGCTCTAGCGCCGCAGGCCCAATGGAAGCTCCTTGACCCAGGCTCTCGCGCCAGGCCAAATTCCCGGAGGAAAAACCAGTAACCCCAGCGCCGCAGGCTCAAAGGTTCTAGCGGAACGCTGGCTCTAGCGCCGCAGGCCAAAGAATGGCGCCATTACTCAGGTTCTTGCGCCGCAGGCTAAAAGAAGAACGTATTCAAATTCATGATTCCTGGACGGGGCCCAGTGGAAAATGGCCGCGAAGCGGTCTTTTTCCACTGGTATGTAATTTAATGGTTTTTCAAAATAGGAAAGTTAGTTTTAGGAGTAATTCCTCAAGGCATACCTTTGTTGCCCAAGCTCATTCCTGGTGTCGTGTGGATATATTTGAATGTTGGCGAAGCACCTGAGCAGCAAGGTGACTTTTTGATTACTGTTGATACCAAGTTAATTCAATTTATCCTATGAAAATCCGTGACATTTTACCTAGCTAACCCAACGTCCTCATCCTCGTCATCCGGGCAGAGTGTCTCATTCCCATACATTCTTTCAGCAAAAAGCTTCATGGCAGCGCGAGACAACACATAACCCGCCCCGCCAGCGTTGTAGCCGTGTTCACGAAATTGGCTTCTTTTTTTGGCTGAACGGCCTTCGAGATTCGAATCCGAGGTTAGGCAAACGAGTAATGAAATTCAGAATAAAAGGTTACTTACAAGAAATGGGCGTAATCGATACCCAAGAAAATACGGAATGCTCGGGTCAAGCCCGGCCAGATAGGCGCGTAGGTTTTCTACAACTACATAGGTGTCATCATCAGCCTGAAATGCCTTTTTAAGTTGTCAGGGAAACTCTGTTATCTAAATACTCTTATCAAATTACCAACGCACCTTCAAATACCAATCAAAACTGCCGGAAATTTCACGATAAATGTAGTGTAGGGCGTAGCGGGTTTTGAAGAAAAGATTGGTGTAATAGTCAGGAATTCCGGCAAATACGGTGGAGTAGGCTATCTGAAAAGTCAAAAAGAGTCCGGAAACATCAGGTTACGACAGAAACCGTCTTCCCGAAAAGCTTTCCGTATGCAACCGAGAGGTACTCGATTATCCTTGGAAGTAAGATTACATTTAACCTTGGATCCATGACATCGTTCGTGAAAAACTGGCCATGATCACATCGAGGCAACCATGTTTGATTAACGGCTATAACCTGAAATGAAACATAAGCTTATCGTCAGGGTTGGTCATTTTCGGATCGGACTGGATCCGGATCAGGATCTGGATCGGATCGGATCCGGATCCGCCGTAAGATCCGGATCCGGATCCAGATCAAGGGGCGGATCCGATCCGATCCGGGATCCAAGGAAATGGATCATGCAACCGAGTTAAGTGCTAATTCTTAGATGCAAAGATCAGTTCTGCTTCTGGGCTATGTATTTTTGCGATCAACATGACCGAATCCGCATCAGAATCGAGAATATTACTTCCGGTCCCTTTTTTCCTCGGATCCGCATTGGATCCGGATCCGAGCGGATCCGGATCTGGATCCGATCCGATCCTACTGCGGATCCGATCCGGATCCGGATCCAGATCCGATCCGGATCCTTGCCGATCCGGGTCCGTCGGTGAACAACCCTGCTTATCGTCGTTGGCTTCAAACTTTGAGCTCAAGCTTGACACTAAAACAGTGGGCTCTCAAACGGAACACGACGGAACTATCCGACAAATCCAGTACCAAAATTGCATCTCGATTGATCGAAAAATACCCGATTTTCATGGTATTTCGTAGACGTCATGGCCCAGCAGAAAAGATTCCCAGTGCGCGGTAAGGTTTTCGCTTCCGGAGAGACGCGGATGCAATGCGCCAATTGTGAGTCGTTGCGCCTGGTAACCAGTTCAAAGTCGTCCTAGGTGCTCTGTGGGGAACCGTTTTCAGGATGATTCAATAGTAATAAACGGGACCTACCGACTATATTGGCCACCCGGGAATGCTAGTTTTAAGGCATAGAAAACGATGACGAAGCCCACGACAATCATTGGCCATTTTCGGCTGGTCATCCAACGGACACAAATAAGTTATGCTAAAATGTTGCGCGAAGTTTTAGGTACTTCAACGTCCATCGAACGGCTGGGGTCGAAGAGGTAGTATTAAGAAAATCATTAGAGTTCATCAGGGTCTGTCAAAATCTTTGCGACGCGCTGCCTCAGCGGTGATGCACGCCCAAATAAGCAAATCGGACAATGTGTAACACAGGTGATGCACGCCAGTTTTGGGCTTCTGCGGGCCTGTTTTTTTTAGCTCTTCATTTTTTGCCCTTCCGTTAATATTTAGCAAAATTATCACTAAATCTAACTAATTAAATGAGAAAGTTTCAAGAAATGGTACGAGAATCGGAAAATTTATATGAAACCACTAGGCGCGTGTTGGCGACAGGTTGTGGGTGATTTTTTGAAATCGCAGTATTCACATTCGCAATCAGTTGCATTTAGTAGTTTTCAAACTTTATTCCTTTATCAAAGTGTGAAGTCTTATCCACAGCCAAAACATCCTTTTGAGCCCTTGCCCTTGCCGCCCTTCGGCTTGTCGGGCTTCTCGCCCACCCACACGCAACGCCACTTCTTGCATTTTCCTTCGAATCCACAGTCGCTGTTGTAGACGCAAGGGCCCGGGTTAAAGGCCTTAAATGGGGACTGAATTCCTCGAGATCTTCAAAACCACGAAGATAAAATTGCGTACCCCCTTCAGTTTTCGGGTTACCGCACCGCCTGATCCCTCTTGAGGCTTATTGCCTCCTACGAGGTCCTGCAATGTCCAAAGTACAAAAGGTAAAAACCAAGCTAAACTCACCGCAAAGGCCCAGGCTACGGTAGCCAGCAGAACTGGCACGAAAAGGAAACGCATCACTTGTTTTTCTCAAGTTTACAACAGGCTTCTTTAAAGGTATGGGTAATTTGCATGTTTCACCTGATCTTTAGACAAAGCTCGCGGTCAAGACTGTTGCGAATCTCTCAAAAACCTTTTCTGCATTTCCCGACCTGGGCCTTTGGTCTTTGATCTCGAACTTGGTTGCAAGTCCAATTCTGTAAGCTAGACTGGATGTTAACGTTAACGATTTTCAAGGCTTGAAAATTTATTTCTTCGAAACCTTTGCAAGTCAATTTTATAATTTCACTGGGTTTTTTCGTTTTCCCCTCGATTTTACGCGAGCGTTAGACGGGTTTTAGCATGTAGTTCTTTGAAAAGACACTTTTACATTTTTTGCGAAGTCGTTCTTGTTAAGTCGTTCTTTGTTTAGCACGCAATCAATACCACCGCGCCGGGTTCTATCAGAATCCGAGCTTGTTTGGCCAACAAATATTCTCAGAAGAACGGGGCCACCAAGCCGGTTTGAAAGTTTGGGTTAAAGCGCACGTTCAGGGAGGGGCCGTATACTCGTCCCAACGTGTACACCCTATGGACGTAGGGACCGCGCGCGCACCCTGCCCATGCCGTGAGAGGCAGTTCCCTTCCTTGCCGGGGTGGGGCGCCCCTCGACCCCTCGCCAGTTTGCACCTGTGGCTGACTGGTATGCGGCCGCGCCTCCCGAACGGGGAACCCGGGTTCGACCCCCGGCCGCGGCAAAAATCTTTGCTTCCTTGCCCAAAAACGTCCCTGAACGTGCCCTTTAAGTGTTATTGATTTGTACTTCTTTTCTGCTTGAATAGTCGCTTGTTTTTCCCGGACTGCTAATTATCCGCGCAACATTTCCCGGTATGTAAATATGCTTTATTTCTCAAATATACTTCCAAAGGTTTCTCATTTGCGCCCTCCACGAACCGCCTGGCGCTTCTTGCGTCCTTGGTGAGCCTGTAACTTAAAAATGTACAACAAAATATATACGGAAATCAATAAAAACAATTATATGATGTGAAAATCGTAGACGGTATCGAATCTCTGTCACGCACTCGATCGATATCATGATCCTGACGCCTCTTGCGTCCTTGATGGTTCTAAAAGCGAGAAAGACGCCGTAAAAAACCCAGGCAAAGTAATGGAATGGTCAAAATAAGCAAGACTTGTACCAGGATTTCATCGTCCGTCTCGTCGGAGCGCTTCTTACGTCCCTGATGGTGCTGTAATGAAGACCTTGGTGAAAAACTCGCCGAAAACCCGACAAAATATTTTGGGGCTGAATCGAAACCATAATCACATACCAGGATCCCATCATCCGTCTCTTCGTAGCGCTTCTTACGTCCTTGGTGGCCCTGGAACAAAAAGGCACGGTAAAAAAAAAACGAAAGCCAGTAATCGCGCGGCTTTGAAGCAACATAGTCCCTACCAGGATTTCATCGTCAGTCTCATCTGAGCGCTTCTTGCGACCCTGATGATGCTGCAATAAGATGCGATGGAAAAACAAACGGGAGGGTAAAACCATGAATTCGGATCAAAAGAAACCATAATCTCCTACCAGGATTCCGTCGTCCTTACCCCAGGAGCCGGAGCCCCTCTTGCTTTGAGTAGTCTCCACGGCGCGCTTCTTTCGTCCTTGATGCCCTGCGATGGGAATGCACTAAACAAAATGATTATACTTAATAAGGGTATGGCTAACTCTTTAAAAATTATCAGATCACGTACCAAAACCATCAGGTCGTCGGCATCGGTCGAGCGCTTCTTGCGTGTCTCGTGCCCATCAACAGGAAGGCACTACATCGATTGATTATAGTGCAAGATACCTCAGGATTAGATCTCTTACATGAGCTAAATAATATAGCGATTATTACTTACCAAAATCTCCTGTTCGTCGCGCTTCTTGCGTTCATCGTCCTTCCGGGATCGAGGAGCTGGGCGGCGGGTGGGCTAGAATTCTAGAAGTGAGGCGAAACCTCGGCTGTTGCAAAAACTATGAAGGCAGAAACAGAACCTTGTTTATCAAGACATCATTCTCGGAGCGCTTCTTGCGACCTTGATGGGCCTGAAAGATTTATTTAATGCCCCGACCCGGAATGCAATGTTTAATGAACAGATTCAGAAATTTTTGTTTTCCTGCTACTTGCACACTGATCTAGCCATCCAGACCATGGAAAAAAAAAAGAATCAGACTTTCAGAGAATTAGCGATCTAATCGCGTACCCGGACCGTGTCGTCCCTGACCGCATCCTCGAAGCGCTTCTTGCGACCTTGATGGTCCTGTAATAGGGGTCGCTTAAACAAATTCTTTCAGCACAAAAGGGAATGCGGACACAATATGCGTCCATAAAAGCAGAAAATAACCACTTACAAATGTGTTTAGAATCTGGCCGGAGCGCTTCTTGCGCCCCTGGTGTTCCTGGAAACGAAAAAATGGTTGAGCTGAGTTTTGGAATCAAGCATTTCTCCAAAATGTATTTAAATGGGAGCCGGGAGCTAGAAGGTATAATCACTTACCAGAACCGTAAGGTCTCGCTTCTTGCGCCCCTGGTGTTCCTAGAAAAGAAAAAAAATGGTTGGCATAGTTTTGTATAAAACGTTTTTCCAAAAGGTATTTAAATGGGGGCCGGAAGATAGGAGGTATAATCACTTACCAGGACTGTGACATCTCTGACAGCATCCTCGAAGCGCTTCTTGCGGCCTTGATGTTCCTGTAACATCCGGTGTAACACCGAACTGTTTTCAGACCAAAAATCAGTACAAACGCAATAATGGTCTCTGCAAAAAGGGCATAATCACTTACTGGGAATGTTGTTAGAACTTCCTCATCATGGGAGCGCTTCTTGCGACCCTGATGTTTCTAAAACGGAGAAAAATAGTGGACTATGTAGTTGTCAATAATACGGAGGAATTGTTGAAGGTGTTGAAGCCGGAAATGGCTAGGAACTGCGAAATGGCGGGGAAAGAAAATTTTTCCCTGGCATTCTCTACAACCCTACAAAAATAAACCATTTTTATAGAATTTTATGTACATACTTTTATATATAAAATCAATATAAAAATAATCAAAATCTCGAAGTTTTTTTTTAATTTATGGTCGAGAATGTACGAAAAATGACCAGAAAAGTTACAATTTTCGAATTTCCAAATTGTAAAGATTTTCAGAATTATTTTTGTAACTTTCTAGCAATCAAAAACCATGAAAAACGCCATAAATATACATGATATATCCTCAACAGGTGGAAAAACAAAATTGTTTTCCCGCGCCCCTCTGCTAAACCGTCCCCCTGCTAACAGTCCAGAACCCATCAACCACCAACCGAACTTACCGAAACCGTTCCATCGCCGTGATCCTCCGTGTTCTTCTTGAAGATGTTGCGTTTCTGGAAGGAAATTAATTGGAAAGAAACCGGAACGGAACTACTAAAGCTTTCACCACCTACCAGCCGCTTGTCGCAGTCGCCGCCGCGGCAGACTGCTGCCCAGCCCACGGTAGCCAGCACCGCCAGCAACAGGAGGAACCGCATTGTTGGTCTGAAATCTTGCGAGGTGTTGCCGCCTTTACAGGAGCTTCCACTTTGCATGAATTTGCAGTTTGGGCTTTGGCCTTTCTGGGTTTCGCCAAGGTCGGTCGACCGGGCTGTATAAACCGTTGCTTTTTTGGTTTTGATCGGAATAAATTCCGGACTTTGCACCGGATGTTTCGGTGGCGAGAGTAGTTTTGACAAAGTTCATTTTATTTCGGCTCCATCCTGTTTGATCCCCCTCGAACTAAGGGAGTTTGGCGGGGCGCCTTTTTCGGCTCCTCCAAAGAGAAAAAATTTACAAGAGACTTACTTTTGAGAAGCTTCTTACAAGGGGTGTTTTTTGCGTCATCGGCAAACCTTACGAGACCCAGCTCGATAAAAAAAAATTGAATTCTGAGCAAGATGCCGTTGATCATTTTTGCGGAATAGCTGTCTCCGAGTTTTATAAAA